CAAATCTCTACCAGAATGGATATAAAAAGAGTTATCCTACAGTTGAACGGTTCTCGATTGACAGGGTGATGCAATAGCTGTTCAAAATGAAGACAGTGTGGGCCCTCCCTGGTAGCAGCACTATGAAACTACTCTCAGCCACTGCAGCATAGGTTCGATCCCCAACCCACATGTCACAGCAGACCTCTCCTGTCTCACCCACTGCTCCCCTCAGCAGTGTATTTCAGTCAATCTACCTTTTCTGTTCCCCACTATTTTTCTGGTGAATCCTCTCAACCCCTGTACCTCTGGCCTGTACCCCAGTTCTTGTATTCCTAAATAAATCTTAAAAAAAAAAAGAGTGTGATTGTGTGTTACATCCTTCAGAAAAGCCATTAAATCTGGGGTTATCTAGTGTAGCCTCCTAGCCAGACCTTCATGCCACCTATCAGCTCCCATGAGTCTCTCTGCTTCAAACATTAATGCATTGCTTCACTGATAACAGCTATATAGACTATTAGTCTTTCTTTTGATTTTTAGTAAATCCTTCCAGAAATCATCAATTATTTGAGCAACTTTTTAATGTCATAGGATCTAGACTTTTTTCTGTTCTATTTTTAGCTAACATTTTAATGGAAAAGTAGAAAATAATTAAACACTGCCAGATTCATGCCTGTCCAAGATAGATGTTACTTGATTTATCTCCCTACCAGACAGAAATTATGACCATAAATTGGTGTGAACAGTCATAATTTATAGTCACTTCTGACAGTTGATTAATCAAATAAATAATTATTGACCCATTTTTGTAAATAGATATGTACTTGAAATGGGCGTATTTCACATCTAACTAAAATATTGACTTCAGGGCACACAGGAAAGATACAAATGATGCAACCAGATGTTTGCATAGCTTCTACAAAAGACTCAAAGTGATGTGGCAAGCTAAAAAAGAAATGGATTCTAAATGAAGAGACAATATTAGGATTCACTTTTTAGAGACAATGACTTTTGACCTAGGGTTTATATATTTGAATTTACAAAGATTTGAGATGAAAGGTATGTCAAACACAGGAACTTAGAAAAATTCTTTGAGAATAGAAATAATTCAGTTTGCTGTCTATGTTCAGAGAAAAGTATAAAAAGGCTAATTGAAGTCAGGCCTTGAAAAATTATTAAATTATTTCTGAAGGTAATTGGAACTTGCCTTCTAGGTAGAGAAAAAAATCATTGAAAATATTTAGTAGATATTGATATGTCAAATTTGTCATAGATGCCATATATAAATCACTCTCCTAAGCACCTTAATAAATTTTATTTAAGGATCCTGAAAATTACTAGAAAGCAGAGTTGTAAGAACTGTACAATTTACTGATTACAACAACACAAGAATATAAATTAGTTAAGCACCAACATTTTGGGGGTATTTATTTGAATTTTTTAACTTTAGTCAATTGAAGTTAATTTTATATATGCCACAAAATAAAGTAGCTTTAAAATTGTTGATCTATTTTTGTAACTTGTGATGAAAATGTATGTTCATGTTACATTAATACACAAACAGCAATACTTATTTTACAAGATACAGTAATATAAGCAGTATTGGTTACCCTAAGTGAATTTCTATTTTGAAAATATATCTTAGATTTTAGTTATTTGTGTAACTATACAATATTTGGTTTAATTAGATAGCAAGTTCTTTTTTTTTTTTAATAAGGGAAGATTATTGCTTGTTAAAAGAAAATTAACATGAGTTAACCTTCATGTTTCTGTCAAGTAAACACTTTTGTTTTGAACTTCAAACTCAAAATCTTCTGGTAATTCATTTTATTTTCCCAAAGAATTTAGGAACAATCATAGTATAAGAAAGTGACAGAGACAAAGGTCTTTTTTTTTTATCACTGCCCACCCCAGGGGAAACAGAAGCAGACACTGTTTCCGTTATTACAAAAGTTAACTATAGATCCCTGACTGCAAATATTTTGAACAGTATATTAAAGGAAGAAAATTTAGGTTTCCTTGAAATCATTAAAATATGTGTTTTAAAACTTAAGCAGGTGATAGCTTTTGATTCAATGTCAAAGTTTTAGAAGCTGCATAGTGCCCAACAAACTGCACCTGCATTAATAAATAATGTAATCATTTAAGAATGGAATATAAGCCTAATTTCTCCTTCCATTATGCATACACATATTTCAAATTGATATTATTATAAAATTATTTTAATGCTTAAAAATATGTTCTGTTGAGAATGAAGACCATTTGCGATCCTCATGCAATGTTTATAGAAATGCAAGAAGGAAGAGCCACCATGGAAAAGAGCAGATTTTTTAAAAATTGTAAAATACATTTTCCATATGACCCAATAATTATGATCTTAAGTATTTACTCCAGGATAATAATAATGCATGTCCACACAAAAATGCATGTGTGAATATTCATAGCAACTTTTTGCATAATCATCCCAAACTGGTAGTAATCCATTTATCCTTCAATTAGTGAGGGAATGAATAAAAGTATTTCATATCTATAGAAATGGTATAAAATGCAGCCACAAAAAAAGGAACAAACTATTGATGGATGCACCAATGTGGATGAATTTAAAATTCATTAGGATAAGTGAGAGAAATAAGTTTTTATAACTTTCATATTATGATTCCATTTACATAACATTCTCAATAGTGGCAAAAAAAAAAAAATGGACAGAAAGCTCAGTGGAGATAGATGGAGGAACTACAGACCATAAGAGTGTGCCTGTCAGGACCTAGGAAGAGCAGTGTGATGCTCTCCTCTGTTACTGACACCATGCTGACAGAAGTCAGAGCAGATAAGAGCAAGTGATCTCCTTCCAGATGTATTTTCTTCATCAACCAATACCTTTCATTGTCTGAACTTAACTGGAGATCGGGATCCCAGCTCTTCTAATGCTTACTGGAGCACAAAGGGTGAGAGAAAACAAACAGGCAAATGCCCTGTTCAAAATGTTAGCTTGTATATTTGTATTTTGCATTTTAACAAAAATCTCATGCCATTGTTTCTCATTGTCACCATAGAGCAATGAGATTGCGTGTGTGTCTATGCATATATGCATTTTTCTCAGTCAACTGATAAGAGTAGGTTGTCATATTGGAGAGTAAATATTATATTATATAATAAAATATTTTATAGAATTCCAATAGTGGTACTCCCTGGTGGCAAAAGGGGTTAAGTCTCAGCGCTATGAAGCTATCAGCAGCCACTGAGTTCAATCCCTGGCCAGGGAGCTGATCCACATCTGGCTCAACAAACCTCTCCTGTCTTGCCCACTGCTTCCCTCAGCAGTGTATTTCAGGAGATCCACCTTTCTGTTTCCATCTCTGTCTCTGGTGAATCCTCTCACATCCCCTGACCTCAACCCAGGCTTCAGTTCTTCTACACATAGATAAATAAAATAAATCTTTAGAATGTCAAGTAAAGATTTTAAATTTCTGCTATTCTATACCAAGGCACTGTCAACATGAAAAGAATAAACAATTAAAGGCATCTGCCATTAATTACTTCTTTTAAGTAAGTAGTTACTTAAAATTACTTAAAGGAATTACTTCTTTTAAATAACTTTTTAAATTACTTTAAAAAAAACTTTAAAATAAATGTGTTTAATGTACAGGGTTGGGGAAAGGCCTCTGATAAATACAAAGGGTTATCAAGGAAAATACAAGCTTCTTAAACCTATGAACAATTAATTGCAAATTAATACCTGAAGTTACTCCTCTCTATATGGGGAAAATGCCTAACCCTGTTCTCTAGGAAGACATGAGGGCAAACAATATCTGTGAGTAATTATTGTTACTTCTCCCCTTTCCTTGGGTGGTCTAATACTTTTTGCAGACTAAATACAAGAGGAAATATTAGAACCTATTGAATTTAAGCACAAGACATAGCTAAAAGTTCCCACTGAAAGAACTAAATATTTGATGTTGATGAATGACTAAATAAATTAAATATTAGTTTACAAGATAGACCCAAAACTAAATGAAGGATGAAAAACAAAATGGTATAAAACAATTAGTTGATACTGACCTAGCTAATGGGCAGGTTCCTTTTCTATTCCAGTGAGATCTGTTTTCATGTCTTTGGACTTCTACTGGACACCACACTCAACATACTCAACTGTTTAACAACTTCAAGGTCTTGGTCATGGAAAAGACTGTAGAATAAAAATTGCTTCTTTGGGCCCTCCCTGGTGGCACAGCGGGTTAAAGCATAGCACTAAGAAGCTAAAGCCACTTCCACATGAGTTCGATTCCCGACTGCCCCGGAGATGACCACATGGCGTGGCAGACCACTCCTGGCCCTCCCGCTGCTCCCCTCAGCAGCGTACTTCATAGATCTGCCTGTTCTGCTCTCCACTCTGTCTCTGGTGAATCCTCACCCTCCGCATTTCTGGCCTGTATCCCAGTTCTGTATGAATAAATAAATAAGTCTTAAAAAAAAACTTAAAAAAAATTGCTTCTTTGTTCATCACTAAAAATACCTGGTTGGCTTTTGTTTGTTTTTTGACTACCTGGTTCTTTCAACTAGTTATCAACTTTCTTGTGTAAGAAAGCTACTGGACAGAAACAAGTAGTTGGCATGCAGCACAGCAGCTGATTAATGAAGAAGCCATTCAGTTAACCTTTTTTCCACATTTGGTCTCATTCAAAGAATAAACCAAAAGCATCAGTGTTATAAAGGATTCATGACCAAGTTACAACTTTCCAAAAAGGTCTTTGGCCAGGGAGAGCTTTACTTCTTCAATCAGGCCCACAAATAAATTGTTACTGAGTCAAGAATCCCTTCCCACCTACTACAGGCCTCTAAGAAACAGATGCTTCAATAATTAGTTCAGGGTAATAGAAAGTTCAGCATGGAGGAGAAAACGAAATACAGAATATGAGCAAACAAGGAAAACAAAATATACAATTCACTAGAATAAGAATAATCACTGTTGACGTAAAGTCCTTTACCACTCTTTCTGACAGGCTTCTTTTACTATCTGCAAATTAAGATATTTTCAGTTTTTCACCTTCCATTTCCATATTGTCTCTAATATTCTGTAGTTTTCTTGAGTTTTTGGGTCAGAAACACTAAGCTTTCTCCAAACTCCCTAGTCCCGTGACCTCTGTCAATATTCTCAAGCTCATCAGAGCCAATGTCTCTCTGAGTTTGGCCTGAGTAATTTTTTGCTCTTCTAATTCTGCAAGAAGAGCCTGTTTAGTACATAATTCAGTTTTATAATTTTCCTGTAACTGTTCAATTTCTTTTTGGAGAAGCTGGAATTCTTCCTCACTGCAAGGAAGCATCTCCTGGGATTTGTCTTCTGGAAGCAAGATGTTTGGAGGAATGTGCAAAATCAACTGTAAAAATAGCTGCTCCATTTTGCCAAAAAGGTGATCAAAACGTCCTTTCATGAAGCAAAGAAACTTCTCTGTGCATTTACGGATCTGGACAGGGCTAATCTCACAGCCTGGGAGGCCTTCCAGCTTCTTCAGAATAACCTGTTCAACGGCATGCATCACTTCAAATAAGTAGTCTTGAAATGCAATGTAGATCCCAAGCATGCAAGTTTGTGGTGTAAAACTAAAAAATTGTGCCTCATAAGTCATTGGATCAACAGACACTTGACTATTTTGCTGTGTTAATTTTGATTAATTAAAAAATCTAAGCGATCCTGAGAAGCAGAGCCTAACTCACATGGAGTTCCCGTCACCTCCTTCAAACCACCGGTGGCAGCCCGAGACAGGCTGTGTCGCCACCTTTTTAATTACTTTTTAAAAGAAGTAACTAATGGCATTTATTTCAAAAGAAGAAAATATATGATTTTAAAAGGAGAAAATCATTACAGCAATGGCTATTCAAATATAAAGATATATCAAGCATTAGTAAGAAAGTCGGTCAACTATATTAAAGACACGTAAGTAATTTTATAGAAAATTATGGTAATTAATTAGTTGTGATCATCATAAATAAAAACATGCAAACTGCCAAACATTGCTTTGAACAACAATGTATATTTGACAAACTTCCAATATACTGAATTATCAACTACAGTGAAATCAGCACTTGAAATGCACACGCTCATATACCATACATGTATGTAATTACAATATATGTGGTTATATGCATGCCTGTATATATAAATAAAATATGCTCATTTATATGTATATTAACATAATTATAAGCTGATGAGCTGTCAAATCACCTACAGTAATTTTGAATGTAAGACACATAGTGTGGTCAAATTCACTGTGTCAACTCCTTCTTATATGTAGCTGTTTGTTATGATATACATCTGTCAAAATTATCTGCACCAACTACTAACAAAATATGTTTGCTTTATCCTATTCTGTATTCCCGTGGGTTAGAGATTACTGCCTTTCTATTTTCTATTTCAATGTGGTGACTATAATCTCACACTTTGTGTAAGGGTTGTTTGAAGAGCAAGAGTCAATAAAAATGAAATGCCATGTAAATGCAAATTGATTGAGATTTTATGTCAGAGGCAGGATATTATCACCTGATTCATAACTGTGATATGAGCTGGAGCTTCTCATTTGATAAATCTAAATTTTGCTCTGAAAAAAAAAAAACAGAAAGGAGGACCATTTCACTTAAAATAACATACTTGATTATTTCCGTAGTTTTCATTGAAAGGCCAGGCAAAGTTTCACTTTTCTTGAAGGAAGTTGAAGAGATGGGGTTTTTTAACGTTCATTTCCCAATAAAATGTAAAAAAAAGTTAACAAACTTTTATATGAAACTTACAAATAATTTGTAAGCAATGTTGCAATATCAGTATTACTAACAGTATTTAATTTTATTTCCTAGAAATTCAACAGGCAATAATCTCAATTACTTTATAGGTCAAAACCCTGAAAAAGGTCACACATTTAGTAGATGACAGAAACAGGACTAGATATAGAGACTCTGGGTTCAGGATCTAGGCAAACCATTATTCTATATAATCTTTCTATTTTTAATGCTATGTAAAAACACTATAGACAGGGCCCTCCCTGGTGGTGCAGCAGGTTAAAGCACAGCATGAAGAAGTGATGGCCACTTCAGCATGAGTTCGATTCCTGCCTGGCAGGTGATCCACAAGTCTTGGCAGACCTCTCCTGACATTCCCATTTCTCCCCTCAGAAGTGTAATTCATCAATCTGCCTGTTTTGCTTTGCACTCTGTCTCTGATGAATCCTCTCCCTGCCCCTGCACCTCTGGCCTGTTCTATATACATAAATAAATAAATCTTTTAAAAAAATTACTATAGTCAAACTTTCAGTGTGAAGTTGTTATCCTGGAACTCATCTCTTCACAGAAAGTTCCAAGTTGCTTACATAATTGTCTTTGTATTCATTATAGCTTAAACAGGGATGGTAGAGTAATTTTTATTTTTTTTGTGCATCCAGAAACTACAATGGATAAATTGAATAATTAATTAACTGAATTCATAAAACTACTTGATGATGTAAAATATGTATTCATTGGTTGAGTACATAGAAAAATAGATTAAAATGGGGTTTATATCCTATATGCATGAAAAAAGCAAAAAGCAGAAGATATTTTTCAGTGATGTGTTTAAATCATCAGATATGATGACATTCTCATTATTTTTGTTTGATTATGTAACATTTCTCCATTTCATTAAAGCTGTGAATCTTGAAATTTTGGAGCTCATGACTACAATGATTCTGGAATCATTAAGAAACCCAAATACCTAGTTTATATAGAATATTAACAATGAAGTCATAAAGTTAAAAAATATTTACACATGAACATAATGAACTGATTACTGGCATAAATAATAACTAAGTAAAACAGTTACAAAACAAAATTTAGTGTAAAGTGTGGTGATTCTTGACTTTTTTTTTTTTTTGCAAATTTCTCTAAAGTTAGTGAATAGAAAATAAAATATCCAGATCCTTGTACCTACTCTTGGTAACTCTATGTACGATACTGATTAAAATACTTAGAGAAATTCTGGTGAAAAGGAAAACAGTATACCAACAATTTCATTGCATAATCATGGATGTTGTTTGCTTAGTCTGTACCAAAACCTGATGAACAGTTGTTTCTTAAAGGGTAGGTACGATCTGGCATTTGATATCACAATCTTCTAATGTACTAAAAACTAAAATTGATTGTCTATCATATAATGACCTAACATATGCATGTGATTTTGTACAATCATGTATTGACAGTTTGGAGAAATGATTCAATGAATAATGTAGACAGTGCAGATTTATAGCATTTCTTTAGATACTGTCTTACGATGTCCCATCTTGGCTGTTCAAACCCACTGTTTTTGTATGTTGCCCATTCCTTTTTTCCCATTTGAGCCCTTAAGATGTAATCATGGGAATTTTAAATTCTGTCTCAGATAATTTCAACATCACTGGCATATCTGAAGTGGGTTGGAACTTGGCTCGTTCTCTCAAACTGGTGTGTGTGTGTGTTGAAAAGTACTTTGTAATATTTCCATTGAGAGTTAGACAGATGTACTTAATTGTGTTTTCTGCAGAGATCTTTGCTTTAGTTAGTTGTTATTTTCTAACTCTACCTGTTTGTAGCACAATATGGACGCAGTATTTTTCCCTGTGACCTCAATTTTCTGATAGATCTAAGAAGAGCTGTTTGTTTTCAGCTTGTTCAGTTAGGTTTTGTTGCCGTCATTGTGCAGACAGGAACAATGACCTTCAAACCCCTTTCATATCAGACTGCAATGGAAGGCTTTTATTTTTCTAAGAGCATGCGGGAGTGAAGGATACAATAACTGTACAATTTGTGCCACCATTGATTCGTGCTAAGCAGTTTACCCACCATTGTTGTGAGCACAAAGTACAATCATTTAAATGAAATACTAATACCAGCAAAACATATAGCTAAAATCTACATTTAGAAAAGGCATCCTATCAGCTAAAAGTGGCACTTCTGTCATTACCTTTAGTGACTTTTCATCTAGCAGGTGCTTAATGCTAAACACACAAGAGTACTAATTTTGTAGCTATTTGGTGATTATCTCTGAGAAATGCAATAGGATAAAAGCGAGTAAAATACTTCAGTATCTTCTTCATTTCTATTCTGAAAACTGAGAGCTTCATTGAAATTCAAAATGTTTTTCTAAATTCTGATTGGTTTTCAAATTATTAAACTCTGGTGTCATCATAAAATTTTAAAAAGTCTTATTTTATAACACAAAATAAATATTAACATCTACAAAAAAATCAAAGAAATTATAATTTCTCATATTTATTTCTATGAATCAGAGAAATTGTTAATGTGTCACTTATATTATTTTGCACATTGGATATAGACAGTGTCCAGTTGTCTTTCTAAACTTTTTCTTAATTCTTGAGTACTTTTTTGAAGTTAAAAGTATAAGTGCCGGGCTCTCCCTGGTGGCACAACGGGTTAAAGCACCACATTATGAAGCTCTCAGAAGCCACTGCAGCATGAGTTCAATGCCCTGCCAGGGAGCTGACCCACATGGCATGGCAGACCTCTCCTGACCCACCCACTGCTCCCCTCAGCAGTGTACTTTGTCAATCTGTCTCTTCTGCTCCCCACTCTGGCTCTGGTGAATCCTCCCACCCATCACACCTCTGGCCTGTACCCTAGTTCTATATGCATAAATAAATAAATATTTAAAAAAGTATAAGTGCATATTTTAAAATAAAGCACTAGTAAAAACGAAAATATAACATTTATTAATAAACTGGTTATAAACAAATACATATTTCATAAAGCATTGTAGATAACACAGCAAAGTGATTCTTTTTGTGTGTGCTTCCATATATACATACATATA